TTAGAAATAAAAGGTACCGACTTTTGTGGCGCACTATTTTTTACGGCACTGCGCGCTTTTCTTATTATTTTTAAAGATCTATCGATGGTAAAATGCCGTACAAAAATATATGACCGAAATGTACTCACTCTGCCTGTACTTTCAAATTCTCACCAGCACTCAGTTGGACAGCTTACAAGTGACGGCATAGTGTTAAATCATATTATTTTATGATCTTATATCGTCCTAAATAGGTCACCTGATGGTTCATATGACCCATAAATTTTTTGGACATGGGCCCCTAGTCTAGTAGTAGAAATTTTTCTGTTTTGAAACTGCGACATAAAATATTTAAAATAAATTTAAAATTAGAAGCAATATTGCTACATGAATAAAATGCAAAATATGCATTCTTAAATAGTTATAGTTTAATTTAAAACAGAAATGGGAAAAATATAATGAAAAATATTCGAGTTATAAGGATTGAAAGTAAAAAGATGAAAATTTTCTGACTTGAAAAGAAAACACAAAATGTTTATAGCAAATTTACACAGAAGCAATATTGCAACATGAATAAAATGCACAATATGCTTTCTAAAATACTTGTAGTTTAATTTAAAACAGAAATGGGAAAAATATATTGAAAAATATTCGAGTTATAAGGGTTGAAAGTAAAAAAATCTAAAATTTCTGACTTGAAATTGCGACAAAAAATGTTCTTACCCGAAGGTACTAATATAATATACAACCCATATTAGCCGAAAGGGCTAAAAAATATTAGAGTTACAAGGGTCCAAACCAAATTTTTCAAAGTTTTACCCCAAAAGTTAATTTTTAGTAAAACCTCCAAAAATACAACAAATAATTCCTCAAAACACCCCAAACTGTCCACCCCCATCCCCAAACAACTAAATTTCCATAAACTAAAACCATTTCCCCTCTAAACCTCTCCCATCCCTCAATATTCCACATCAAACCACACACAATTCCCACAAAAAATGTACCACATGTAATGTAAACTAACCACATTTTTTCCTCCACCAGCGCATGTAAACCCAAATGTAAATAACGCAGTAACACAGTAAACATGCAACTTGTTATTAATTCATCCCCTTAGGATTGGCGATCCGGGGATGAAATCACGCTGTAATATTTATCGCGCGAAATGGACAACGTTGTTAAACATTCAAGAGGCGCGCGCGCCGCCGACCAAACCCTTTCAACGGCCGCTGCCACCCACCACCACCGCCACCCGCGCTGCTGGTCAAGCTGACCACCGCCGACACCATTCGGACAACTCGCAACTCGTCATCCGTTAATATTTTACGAGCGCACATCGCTCGCATGGCAGATTTGATGCGACAAAACCAATATTTGCTTTTTATTTCTTGCTGTACACAATCACACAAAAACACATACATACATCGAATATGTGGGTCGGGGATAAAACGCGCGCTGCAAATGCAATTTACAATCGACGAATTTAAATTTTTTCAATTTTGTTGTGAATACTGTGTTGTGTTGTGTTTGTTTATACGCGCGATTATTACAGATTAGTTTTATTCGATTCGATTTGTGTATTCAGCGCGCCCGAAATGATTGTTTAATTTGTTTAAATAATGTGTGTGCGTTGGTATTCTTGTGCAGTGTTAATATTAATTCAACTAAAATTACAATCGCCGAGCGCAGCGGGTCGAAAAGTTCGGAATTATGTAATGATGGAGGATGTTTGCGCGCTTGCTGTGTGAATTGTCAATGTTTGCGGACGACAGAATCGCGAAACTTCGGCTGATATTACAACAAACTTTAATAATAAGTGTGTTTGTGTGTGTCTGTGTGTGTGTGGAATAAATAACGGAAAAGTACAAGTTTTTAATTTAAATTTTAAGTATTGAAGTATTGAGCTGTTCATAGTTTATTTTTCACGTTGTGAAATTTATATTTTTTAAATTTAAATTAAGGGTGGAAAATGTAGGGCAAACAGGATGAAACTTTCAGAGAATATTCCGAAGAGTTGCGTTTTATTATTAATGAGATATTGATTAAATATTGCAACGGATTGTTGAGTTATGAATGATTAAAGTTGGAATTTTATTTATTTTTTATCGAATAAAGTATGATTTTTTTTAAAACTGCATAAATGTTTAAATAATGAGGGGAATGTTATGAAAATGTCAGATTATATTCCTAATGAGTTCTATTTTTGATTAGTGCAGAATTCATTGCCCTATCTCACAGGATTCCTTAGTTACAGGACAACAAAGTAAAAAGTATTCGATAAAATTAAAATTATCAGAAAAACTAAATACACGCTTGTGTAATATTGGTATTAAGCGAGGAAATAATAGGGCAAATTCAATAAATAATACAGGATACACGAAGAAATAGTCCTTCTTGTTAATTATGAAAGGATTTGTTAAATATTAATAAGGATAATGAAGTTATTAGAGTTTAAAGTCGATATTTCAGTTTTGCTGTTTTCTGAACACAAATATTTCAAGAGTGCAAAAATGCTAAAAGAAAAGCAAATATTTCTTCAAAAATTCAAAATATATCCAGAAAGAGTCCTACTTTTAATTAGTGAAAAAACAGTATCCTATTTTAAAGGATTTTTCTCAAAATTCGTCAGAAAAACATATTTTAGAAAAATTCGCGTTAGGGTTGTAATTAATTACAACAAAGTAATAAAACCCTCCATATGTGCTCTCAAAGAGTTCTTCTAACATATTCCAAAAGAAATAGTCAAATATATTAAACGAATTATAAATTACAACAGTTCAAAGTGCAGCAATAACACAACTGTTTGAATATCAATTAAATACCAAAAATAACTGCAAAGAATCCTTAAAAATCTCAAAAAAACATTCAACAAACCTTCAAATTTTAATTAAAAAAGAAATTAATATCCTACCTATAAAGACTTTCAAGCTACGCGTGTTTAAAAAGAAATCTTCAACTTTTTTCAACTTTAAAATCCAATTAGGAAGCAAGACACATTTAAAAACTGATTACTCATGGACGTGGACAAAACTGACGAATATATTTAAGAAACTCCGCAAATATATTCCCAAAAAGTCCCAAATTCATATACCAACGAGAAAATGGGCTTATCATTAAAACTTTCCGAATTACAAGCGTTCAAAGACAAAAAAAGAATCTTCATAAAAAAAACACCAAACTAAAATATCATTTAACATCAAAATCATCCACTTTCATCACTCAATTTACATATGAGTAAAACACACACCATACGTGCATAGAATGTAATCAAATTTAAGATAATGCAGATAATAAGATAATAAGATTCATGAAGAAAACACTGCTATTATTTTATATTCCAGGGAGTTGTTTTCGCTAGCTGGCGGTATTTTTTGATTCTCATGACAATTGGCATAAATTCCCTATTTTAAGACTTTAAAACCCACCCGGGAAATGGGTTAATGTGATGGCGCATCCCCCGAGAAAGTTGGAAAACGTTCAAGTCTAATAAACATTCCCAAACGCACACGTCAACGTGTTTTCATCCACAAATTATTAATTAACTCAATAACCAAACATGCTACAAGAATAATTCTTTCTCTAATAGCTAAAACATCAACTAGTGAATCTAATAATATTAAAATTATATTGATACAATTAATTAATTATTATTTAATAAAATTAATGTTTTTTGACAGAAAATTTTAGTTTTTCGGCTATAATTCTTAAAATAATAAATATTTTTGTATCAAATTTAGATAGTTTATGTATAATTTATCCTAGAATCTATTTTTGAAAGAATCAATGCCCTAACGTGATTATTTGATGAGATATTAATTAAAATGTAAATTAATGCACTTTTTCAATTGGATTGTTACATAAAATAAATGAATGTCATCGCCGCCATCATCATCGTGTTAACATTCACGAAGATATACTCACTACACCGCTGAAGACGACGACGACGACCGCGAGTGAACGCCCAACCGTGTGTATATCCCTATCTGTGTCCTACTTTCCTGTCTTTCGCCATTTAAGAACACACAGCCGACGAACGCACGCACACACCTATCTATCCGCTGCTGCATGTACATGGCCGAGCACAACAAATGAAGATTCCCGATTTTTCCCTGCTTTAATCCTAAATGTGTACAGGTGCTGAATGATACTCACCGTTTCTCGATGCTGGAGTCCTCTCCGGCGTGGTCGCCACGCGGCGAACGCATCCCAACGGCCGTAATCCACTGCGAGTCGGGCGCATCCGAAACAAAGACACTACTCTCTCGCCGCATATACACACCTCGCTCGCAACGACGGGCGCGCTCACATTTTGCGCCGATTTCCCGACGCGCCCGGCCGGCAGACTCGCACGCGCGAAGAGTATGCCTCGCGGGGGTGGCGTTTACATACACGAGGGCGGTTTGCACGCACGGTCGCGATGACTTTCGGGGTTCTGTCTTCGGGCTCTTCGCTCACCGCACCAGCGCACCGACGGCCATTTTGATCACGGCGGCGGTGTTCTTGCGCCTGCGGACCCCAATCGACAGTGATGCCAACGTAAATGTGAAGAAGAAAAACCCTAGGGGAGATTCAAACAGAATTATTTTACAAAAATCGTTTAAAATTAATATTTAAACAAGAAATATTAATTGTAGTTGCATTATTAGTAAATTAAAATGTAAATTTAAGCAAAATTTAGTTAAAAACATTGATTTTAGCATAAATTGTTTTAAAATCTTTAGGTAGGCAACACAACATACACCAATTCATAAAAATTGATTTTTTAACGTTTTAAACATTAATTAAATACATTTTAATATTACACTAGCAAAAAACTAATCATTTTCAACAAAAACTATAAAATTTATAACAAATAAACCCATTTTAAGCAACTTTAACTTAAAAATTCATAAAAATATCACCCTTCAATCATTTAACCTAGGCAACCCAACATACACCAAAAGTTACTACATGTTACCAAAACTCCTCCAACTTTCAAACTCCACCAAAATTAAGTTTGCACTCATTTCAAACTCTAAACATGGAGGAAATACAAATATATTTTGAAAATATCTCATCTCTGTCTCTGATATACAATAGTCATAATATTCAACACTATATAATAGAATATATAATTAATTCTCTATACTTGTATGTATAATGTATTTAAAACGCCCTAACCTAAATCTTATAACATGGTGATAATTGTAAAAACACAAAACGCGACGCTCGTCTAAGTATAAAACCATCAAACGTAAACCTACATTAGAAAATCGAAATTATTCATTCACAAATTCACCTTCGAAACAAAATGGCGTCCGTGCACGATGAATTCATCTTAAAACAAAAATCTTAAATAGAAGCTATCGCAAGGCACATGTTTCCATTGTATTCGGGAAAGAATCATCAAAAAAATAAAAAATGGCGGCGTTGAAAACTACGAACCCACGTAGTACTTCAACGGGATACACTTTGCCTTGCGCTTGAGTTTTATCTTCGACTGTGCGCGCAGCTTCGCCTTACAGATACCTTCATGCATGCGTAGCTTCAGCGTGGATTTGCGCATCTCCCGCGGCGCATCGCCTAAATTCTTCTGACGTTCACTACGTCGTCCGACAGATGACCGCGTGATATGTTCATGCATAACCTGTGTACTTGCCGTGTTGTTATTATTATTATTATTATTCGCTTGTTGTTGTTGTTTAGCTGGTGGTGTTTTATTATTTTCTTTGGTTTTCGGTACTCTGGACGCTGACGAAGATGGCGTCTCCACATCCACGGCGTTTTTCTTATTACTAAACAATAAATTCTGCAGTAGACGCTTCTTGTCCGTCGACAGCGCCATCTTCTTCTTTATACCTTTCTTTTTGAAAGCTTTATCTTTATCCTTTTCTTTCACATCTGTCGCAATATTCGCTGTCACATTGGTATTCGGTGTTGTGTTTTTCCGCTCGCGTAACACACGTGATTCGCTACTAATCGCAACTAATCGTGAGCAGTCGTTATCCCGTGGACTTCGCCTATTTCCACTTCCACTTCCAGCAACACCGCTAGATGTCGCAGATTTTTCTGTTTTCTCTGCTTGTGCTTGTGGTGAGTTATTGCTACGCAAATTAAATTTCCTTTGAATATTCTTTTTCTTTTTATCAGCGTCGGCGTTATCAAACGAACTCGACGTGATTTCGTTGATTTGTATATCATTCTCGTCTTCTTTCTTTGGTTGTGCAGTACAAGGTGAACATGTGGATGAAGAAGGCAACGCAGGATGACTATTTGAGGTTAAATTCGTTGGTTCAACCAGTGTATACGGATCAAACGCGGTGCTTTCCCTGGGTTTACTCATAACCCTCGATGGTGGATCAACATCCACATCATTATCATCTGCTTTACTACTATTAATATTAACATTACTACCAACTGTTGTAGCAGTATTAGTATTAGTAGTAGTATTATTCCCTATACCGATAGATGGCGTAACAGGCGGTGTCACACTCCTCGGTATACTCTTCAAACACCTCTCCATGATATTCATCCGTGCTTTCTCCCTCTCCAATCTCTGCGTGCGTAGTACTTGCGCACGCGGCGGCCCAGGCGGGTCCAACATCAGTGTAATCACCGATGTGTTATCCGCGCGCATTTTTGTATTACACCAACGATCCAACGCGCGTTCCACCAGAGTTTTACTCGGGTTGATCCAGTGTGGGTTCGGACTGAACAGCGTGGCTTCCTCATTACGCCTCTCGGCTTCCTGGACAATATGCACTGCCATCTGTGGGCTGAGCATGTTATACAACCCGTCTGTGCCGAAGATTAAACATCGAAATGTGGATGTGTCGATGACATGCACGCTGACATCCGGTTTGGGTGAAACAACAAATTCACCGTTGAATGGATTATAAGACCAGAGATCGCCTAGACTGCGTGCCACTGCAAGGAAAGGGATTTCATCGATTGGGGTTGATCGACGCACGGGGCCTTTGTGACCAATGCGGGGGCGGTTCCAGACAACACGTGGGACACCCATCTTGGCGATTACTTTACCACCGGATTGCTCAATCCGGGCGAGTTCGTCTTCACACTCGGGTTTGTGGTCTTTTGTTAGGGATTTTGCTTGCCAGTCGGTGCAGCCGGGGTTTTGGTAGCCGAGGGTTATGCCGGAGTCGCCAACATGGCCGACGTAGATTTTCCCACGGCGGATGAAGGCTATACTTGCGGTTGTTCCGGCGGTTGAGGGTAAACCAGACGCGGTTTTCGGCCATTTTTCTATTTATATTAAAAAATAGGTTAAAAATTTAATTTTTAAGGTTATATAATGAATTATACTACCGTGCACTTTCCACATCGCATGATGTGCATCAATAAAACCATCTTTAATCGCTGTAAGAACATCCGCGTCATCTTCACACCAAAACCTCTGGTCTTTGACGATAATCTCCATTAAGTGTTCCTTGGCGAATGCAGCAGCTTCCGCTCCGCCATGTCCGTCAAAAATACCGAAAAATGCATATTCGAGATCTTTCTCATCGTCGGTCTGTTGATAAGCCACCGCAAAGTAATCCTCCATATATTTACGACCTAAAAATTATTAAAAATAAATAAAAATATTAACATAATCTTAAATTTTATATGTCTGTCAAAATTCTAACCTCCTTGTTGACAGTGCCCTGTCACTCTGAGATTAACCCCAACAGACGTCCGTTTTGTACTTGTCGCCTCCCCTGGCGGATTTTCACGCCGCTCACTCGCCGCCTCCATAATCACGTTGTAAATTATACACAAACACACACGAAAATAAACACAGAAAATTTTAAATACGTCCCATGTATGTGCTACATTTTGCGCGGTGTGTGTTGGGTTGCCTAGGGTAAACAAGCACAGATGTTAGATGTCCACTTGTTTTTGTTTGTAACACTTTCGTATTACACGCGTCGCAAACATAAAATCGACTTGATACTTGCCCTATTTTCACTGTATTTCACTAGTAATCACTTTATTTATACAAAATACTCAACATTTGGTTGTTTTCAACATGTTCCGACGTGTTTCCTGCACGTCTTGCACTTGCACTGCGTCCGTTACGTTAATAAACACGACGCACACGCAATAAACGCGTAAATGTGCGCTGGGATGATTCAGATAAACAAAACACTGTCGTACTGTCGTTGGATGACTTTTACGTAAGATAACCGCCGAAGATTTTCTGATCCGACCGATAGATTTCACTTCGCTCTGCCCGCAACGTTTATCGAGTGCTGCGTAAGCGTCACACCAATGCACGCACACACTGTTAGGTCGTGTGTTGTTGGTTGGTAGGGAGTAGAAAGCTGCAAGCGAGCGAGCGGGCAGTAAAATGCAAATGAAAAACGCGCGCGCGCTGATGCTTGCGTCGCTTGCGAAACCAGCGAAACAAAACACTCGCGGCGTCGTTTGTTTGTGCTGGCGATAGAGCGCAAAGATACGCGTGTGCTTGCGATAGAATAAAAAACAACTAGGCGCAAGGCATGATGGGTAATTTGGAAACGACGCATAAATGGTTTGTGGTTTCAGCTGATAGGGGGCGCTGGAGAGTGGAGTGAATGTTTAAAATATGAGTAATGTAAAGTATAATGTAAATAATATCATATTGCTGGACGAGGCATAAACATCAAACATTGTGTTTCATTAAATAAATTTATAGATAATAATTTTGTTCTAGAAATTATGAGTGTTATTCGTAGTCAGAGACAATTTTGCGTAGTTTTTGAAGATTTTTAGTTGTTAATTAATGAATTATTCGAAAATAAAACAAGTTACAGTGATAAATCATTGATTATATAATTAATTATTATATTATGCATCTATTTTAGTTAAATTTATGCTTTTAAGTAAATTAAATAACGATTTATGAGCAATTTTCGAAAAAAATAAAAAATTTACTTAATTTGTTTATAACTTTTAGTGTAAATGTTTTAAATGCATAAAACACACTATAATAGATGTAGAATTTTATAGAGAAGTTAAATCTGAAAGAAATAATAGCGTATTTCTTTGCGTTTTCGATTTATTAACAAATAACTCCGACTCTGTTGGCATACACACAACTTAACCTCACATTTTTAGTGATGTGCACTTAGAAAACAAATTCAAACACGTGTAACTCGTGTAAAATCAAACAAAACAACGAATTGTAAGTGTAAACACGTCTTATAAACACATCTTAATCAATTTTACACTTTACTAACCAAAAACAATATTATTACAATTAAAAACCTCTTTTTTAGACAAATTTTAACAAACTTCGAAGATTTTTACCCAAAACACTCAAAAAACCATGGAGAATGATGATAATAAACAAGTTAAGAAGCCTCCAATGACAGATGAGGAGCGTCTTGCCTTAGCAGCGAAATTAGACAAAGATTTAGACGATTTCATCGAGAATTTACCAAAAAGACAACCATCAACAGAACCACTTGATGAAAACTGGCTTGAAGTACATTCAAAACAAATAATTCTATCAAAAACATTTAAATTTACATAAAATATATTTTCAGGAGTTTGATAAACACCCATTCTTCATGAAAAAAGTCCCTGAACCAGGCGAAGAATTACATCCACTCTATGAAGGCCTGCAACAACTCAAATATGACCCCAATGAGAATACACCTGAAGAACTAGCTTTATCCTATAAAGAAGACGGCAATTTCAACTTCAAACACAAGAATTATCGACTTGCTGTGATTGGATACAGTGAAGGCATTAAAGTTAGATGTGGAAATGCTGAGATTGAAGCCAGTTTATATAATAACCGCAGTGCGGCGCACTGGTTCCTACAAAATTACAGGTTAGATTTAAATCTAATCAAAAACAAAGAAATTTAACCTTAAAAATTAATTTTTAAGGTCTTCGTTGAGAGATGCTGAGTCAGCATTGAAATACAACCCGAATCATGAAAAGGCCATGCAGAGAGCGGCGAATTGCTGCCTAAAAACACAGAAATTCGATGATTGTATCAAGTTTTGTGATAGAATCTTAGATAAAATAAAAAATGCAGATATTTCTGAGGTTAGGAAACAAGCTGTCAATGGTAAAAAAGCAGCTGAACGTAATGAGAGGAAAAAACAAGCGGAAATTAAAAAGAAAACACAAGAAGAGAATATGTTAATCGATGAATTGAGTAAATTAGGTGTGAAATTTAATCGCAGTAATTTATCATTACTACAACCACAATTTGCGGAATTGGAAATGCATCATGTGCATCTTAATAAAGATAAAATACTCATCTGGCCTGTTGTGTTCATGTATCCAGAGCATAAAACCATGGATTTCGTTCAGCAATTCCCTTGTAATTCAACGTAAGCAAATTTAACTTTAATTTTTTAAATTTTTTGTGATTTTTAATTTTATGTATTATTTTATAGGTTTCAGGAACAATTGGAGCTTGTTTTCGATGAGAAGCCTGCTTGGGATCAAAATGGCGAGTATAAAATTGAGAATTTGAATGTTTACTATGAGTATGACGCGAAGAAACGTGTGAAACGCGTTGGGAAGCAGAAAATGTTAAGTGAAGTCTTACAACAGCCAAGGTACAAACATTTCTAACTTCAATTTTTTTAAAATTATTATTTTGATGATGATGTGTAGTATTAGGTATTAATTGTGATTTATTACTTACAGTTTTGTGCTGACTGCAGGAACACCTTGCTTTCTCATCACTGTGAGTGGAAGCGAAGCTGAAAAACAATTTTTATCCAGTTATTAATTGTTATTAATCAATAATTTGAAAATAAAACTCGTTACAGCAAAAAATCATTGGTTTTTTAGTCAATTATTGAATTCCTTTGCATTTCGACTATTTTTTTGTTTTTAATTACTTTAAATAACAAGCTATAAACAATTTTCGAAAAACATCAAAAAGTGAACATTTTACTCGTAAATTAAAAGCGATAGAAGGGAACGAATCACAGGGTGTTAATCTACGGACCTTTCTCTATAAGATAAAACAGTTTAATAGGAAATCTAAGAGATAAAATTTTAAAACTTAAGAAAAAATTGCCAATTGCTTGATACTTTTTTTCGACGATTTTTGATAATTAATATCTTCTAAACTAAAAGAGATAGAAACCAGAAAATTGTTGATTATGGAAGATTAGAAAATTCTCTATCAGATAGAAATTTAAAATAATTAAATATCGTGGGGTAAAGGGTCGAAAAACACGACTAAAAGTGCTAAAAAGTGACATTTTTCAATTTTTGACGATTTTTTTCAAATGCGAATATCTCGTAAACTAAAAGAGATATTTAAGATCTGATCACAGGGCGTTAATCTACGGGCCATTCTCTATAAGATAAGACAGTTATATTGGAAATCTAAGAGATAAAATTTTCATTCCTAAGAAAAAATCGTCAAGGGGGTGCTTGATACTTTTTTGATAATTAATATCTTCCAAACTAAAAGAGATAGAAATCTGCAAATTATAGATTATGAAAGATCTCTATCAGATAGAAATTTAAAATAATTAAATATCATGGGGTAAAAGGTCGAAAAACGTGACTAAAAGTGCTAAAAAGTGACATTTTTCAATTTTTGACGATTTTTTTTCAAATGCAAATATCTCGTAAACTAAAGGAGATAATTAAGATCTGATCGCAGGGCGTTAATCTACGGACCATTCTCTATCAGACAAGAAGTTAAATTGGAAATCTAAGAGAAAAAATTCATTCTTAAGAAAAACTCAAATACGACCCCAATGAGAATACACCTGAAGAACTAGCACTTTCCTATAAAGAAGATGGAAATTTCAACTTTAAGCACAAGAATTACCGACTTGCTGTGATTGGATACAGTGAAGGCATTAAAGTAAGATGTGGAAATGCTGAGATTGAAGCTAGTTTATATAATAACCGCAGTGCGGCGCACTGGTACCTACAAAATTACAGGTTAGATTTAAATCTAATCAAAAACAAAGAAATTTAACCTAAAAATTAATTTTTAAGGTCTTCGTTGAGAGATGCTGAGTCCGCATTGAAATACAACCCGAATCATGAAAAGGCCATGCAGAGAGCGGCGAATTGTTGCCTAAAAACACAGAAATTCGATGATTGTATCAAGTTTTGTGATAGAATGTTAGATAAAATAAAAAATGCAGATATTTCTGAGGTTAGGAAACAAGCTGTCAATGGTAAAAAAGCTGCTGAGCGTAATGAGAGGAAAAAACAAGCGGAAATTAGAAAGAAAACACAAGAAGAGAATATGTTAATTGATGAATTGAGTAAATTAGGTGTTAAATTTAATCGTAGTAATTTATCTTTACTACAACCACAATTCGCGGAATTGGAAATGCATCGTGTGCATCTTAATAAAGACAAAATAACCATCTGGCCTGTGGTGTTCATGTATCCAGAGCATAAAACCATGGATTTCGTTCAGCAATTCCCCTGTAATTCAACGTAAGTGAATCTAACTTTAATTTTTTTAATTTTTTAGGATTTTTAATATTTTGTTTTGTTTTAAAGGTTCCAAGAACAATTAGAGATTGTTTTTGATGAGAGACCAGCCTGGGATCAAAATGGCGAGTACAAAATTGAGAATTTGAATGTTTACTATGAGTATGACGCGAAGAAACGTGTGAAACGCGTTGGGAAGCAGCAAAGTTTGAGTGAAATCTTACAACAGCCAAGGTATAAACATTTCTAACTTCATTTTTTTACAATTATTATTTTGATGATGATGTTGTAGTATTAGGTATTAATTATGATTTATTACTTACAGTTTTGTGCTGACTGCAGGAACACCTTGCTTTCTCATCACTGTGAATGGTAGTGAAGCTGAAAAACAATTTTTATCTAGTTATTAATTGTTATTAATCAATAATTTGAAAATAAAGCATGTTACAGCAAAAAATCATTGGTTTTTAGTCAATTATTGAATTCCTTTGCATTTCGACTATTTTTTGTTTTAATTACTTTAAATAACAAGCTATAAACAATTTTCGAAAAACATCAAAAAGTGAACATTTTACTCGTAAATTAAAAGCGATAGAAGGGAACGAATCACAGGGTGTTAATCTACGGACCTTTCTCTATAAGATAAAACAGTTTAATAGGAAATCTAAGAGATAAAATTTTAAAACTTAAGAAAAAATTGCCAATTGCTTGATACTTTTTTTCGACGATTTTTGATAATTAATATCTTCTAAACTAAAAGAGATAGAAACCAGAAAATTGTTGATTATGGAAGATTAGAAAATTCTCTATCAGATAGAAATTTAAAATAATTAAATATCGTGGGGTAAAGGGTCGAAAAACACGACTAAAAGTGCTAAAAAGTGACATTTTTCAATTTTTGACGATTTTTTTCAAATGCGAATATCTCGTAAACTAAAAGAGATATTTAAGATCTGATCACAGGGCGTTAATCTACGGGCCATTCTCTATAAGATAAGACAGTTATATTGGAAATCTAAGAGATAAAATTTTCATTCCTAAGAAAAAATCGTCAAGGGGGGGTGCTTGATACTTTTTTTCGACGATTTTCGAGAATTAATATCTTCCACAGTAAAAGAGATAGAAATCAGCAAATTATTGATTATGAAAGATTAGGAAATTCTCTATCAGATAGAAATTTAAAATAATTAAATATCATGGGGTAAAAGGTCGAAAAACGTGACTAAAAGTGCTAAAAAGTGACATTTTTCAATTTTTGACGATTTTTTTCAAATGCAAATATCTCGTAAACTAAAGGAGATAATTAAGATCTGATCGCAGGGCGTTAATCTACGGACCATTCTCTATCAGACAAGAAGTTAAATTGGAAATCTAAGAGAAAAAAATTCATTCTTAAGAAAAAATCGTCAAGGGGGGGTGCTTGATACTTTTTTTCGACGATTTTTGATAATTAATATCTTCTAAACTAAAAGAGATAGAAACCAGAAAATTGTTGATTACGGAAGATTGGAAAATTCTCTATCAGATAGAAACTAAAAATAATTAAATATCGTGGGGTAAAGGGTCGAAAAACGCGGCCAAAAGTGCTAAAAAGTGACATTTTTCAAATTTTGACGTTTTTTTTCAAATGCGAATATCTCGTAAACTAAAAGAGATATTTAAGATCTGATCGCAGGGCGTTAATCTACGGACCATTCTCTATATGATAAGACAGTTAAATTAGAAATCTAAGAGATAAAATTTTAAAACTTAAGAAAAAATCGTCAAGGGGGGGTGCTTGATACTTTTTTTCGACGATTTTTGATAGTGAATATCTCCTAAACTAAAAGTGATAGCAACCTGAAAATTGTTGATTACGGAAGATTAGAAAATTCTCTATGAAAAGGATATTAAAAATAATTTAATTTAATGAGGTAAAAGATCGAAAAACGCGGCCAAAAGTGCTAAAAAGTGACATTTTTCAATTTTTGACGATTTTTTTCAAATGCAAATATCTTCCAAAATAAAAGAGATAGCGACCAGCGGATTGAAGATTACGAAAGATTAGAAAATTCTCTATTAAACAAAATTATATAAAAAAATATAACAATACACACGCCCAATAAACATATTATAATCGATTTTACACTAAACTAATTTAACAAAAATTTCAATGCACCTGGTTACTTTGCTGTATATCATGTTGCATACATTAAACTCACCCTGGATATATTAATACAACCCCTCATAAAATATTCAATAACAAAAATACTATATCATTTACTCAATCTAATCAACTTAATCATTTCTTTAGTTCCTACCATCAGTTGTACTAATCATGCCGTCGAACACAGACGATTTCCGTGCGCGCATCGCCGCGTTCACAATCAACGGCACACGCGTCGACGAATACGTCGTCGGTGTCCTACGCATGCGCAACATCAACCTAATCAACTTAGGACTAAACATTCCACGATTATTAATATTCATCACACTCATATTCATCTTCATACTGGGTGTAATCTTACATCTAATCCGACATTTAAGTAACAATTCATTCATCTACGCCGAATGCGCCGCTGATTTCCCTGTGATAATCTCCGGCATAAGCGCAGTGTATTTAAACTTTGTGCATATAAAACAATTGAAGCATGTTTTGCCTCTGATTGACACATTCGCGGATTTCCGCCATCATCGACGCCCCGAGACATTTGACAGCTCGAATCAAATCATGACAATTTTGGGTATATGCCTGACTATAGGTTATGTTGCCGTTGGGACCTTCGCGATGATTGCGTTTGGGGTTATGAAGTGTGAGGAGGGGACACAGGATGGATGTGGGTTGATCATGCCGGTGTATTATCCGTATGTGGATACGGATTTTGGAGTGGGGAGGTATGCCGTGCAGGTTGTGCAGGTTATAGGTGGGTTCGGGTGCGCCATCTGCACGTTTGTGATTTCGTGGATTTATATTACGCACTCGGAGTTTTTGAATACGTATATGGATCAGTTGAAGGTTATGTTGGCGGCGATTGCGAAGGATCCCGATTTTTATCGAAGGAGGTGGAGGTTTAGGGAGTGTGTTATGTATCATCAGAGGATTTTAGAGTGAGTGCATTAGTATTAAATAGGTACAATATTTCCTTAATTTTAATTTATAAAAATGAGAAATGAGAAAATTGAATCTGAATATTAACTTTTAACCTTTATTTTATGATCATTTTGTTATATTTTTAAAACAAAAATTTGCTTAAGTGCTTTTTGCGTGAAAGCGTCACTAATACGTATGCATATTAAGTTGCATATATTTCTAATGCACGTGCAAGAGATGCGCATGTGTGAGTAGTTATTAATTATGTAATTATAAGAAATTATAAGAAATCAATGAATTAAGATATTGTAATTGTTTGTGAATTATGTCATTCTCTTTCTTATTTATTTCTTATTGCTATTAATATAATGCATGTTATTATGACACGTGGTATTCTTTACGTTTAATTTGTAGTAAAATACTTGTGGCGCACGTGTAAAAATATTGATTGTAAATTATTATTGTTTTTGTTGTAACTTTTGATTGAATTACAATTTCTTCACTATTTTTTCTTTGTTGGGAAGATAATTAGTTATATTTTCTGATGTAAAATTGAAAAATTAATATGTTGTCAATTAAGTCGGTAAAATATCAAAATTAATTAAAATTTTTGATTTAAAAATACAATTTTAACTTTAGAAGCAATTTTCAACAATATTTAAATAAATATAGATATTAATTTGATTATTAATTGAAATTTTACTTAATTAGCTATCATTTAATGCAAAAATTATTTAAATATTTACGCAAAGTTTTGAGAAATACGAAGAAAATGTCATTAAATCAAAAAATGTTTGTGTTTAATTTGTTTTTATATTTATTTTTAAGGCTAGCAAATGAATTAATGCCCCTTTCATCAAATATCTACGTCGTGCACGTTGTCAACTCGCCAATAATCATGAGTATGATCGTCTATCAATTAATGCTAGTAAGTTTCCACTTTAAACCAATTTAATCAACAAAATTAAACTATTTTCTTTTTTTTTTCTTAGGAATTCAATGTTATCTTCTTTATGCATTTACTTCTATGGACATATGCAACCAGTATCGGTTGTGTAGTGGGCCAACGTCTCAGTGACATGGTGAGTAATTATTAAAACTCAAAAAATTAATCAAAAAATTAATTATTGTAATTAACAGAGTGAATCTCTGCATGAAGCTGTCTACTGGTCGATACCACTGAGCGGCGATAATCTGCTAACTCAGTGGCGGATTACGGCCTAGGCGCACTAGGCGCGCGCCTAGGGCCCCGGCTGCCTGGGGGGCCCCGGCTGCGCTGCCTGAGGGGCCCCTGGCACTTATATGTCCCATATAGACATAGTAAGTATTTAAACTTTGTGCATATAAAACAATTGAAGCATGTTTTGCCTCTGATTGACACATTTGCGGATTTCCGCCATCATAGACGCCCCGAGACGTTTGACAGCTCGAATCAAATCATGACTATTTTGGGTATATGCCTGACTATAGGTTATGTTGCCGTGGGGACTTTCGCGATGATTGCGTTTGGGATTATGAAGTGTGAGGAGGGGACACAGGATGGATGTGGGTTGATCATGCCGGTGTATTATCCGTATGTGGATACGGATTTTGGGGTGGGGAGGTATGCCGTGCAGGTTGTGCAGGTTATAGGCGGGTTCGGGTGCGCCATCTGTACGTTTGTGATTTCGTGGATTTATATTACGCATTCGGAGTTTTTGAATACGTATATGGATCAGTTGAAGGTTATGTTGGCGGCGATTGCGAAGGATCCGGATTTTTATCGAAGGAGGTGGAGGTTTCGGGAGTGCGTTATGTATCATCAGAGGATTTTAGAGTGAGTGTAATAGTATTAAATACAATATTTACTTAATTTTAATTTATAAAAATGAGAAATAGGAAAATTGAATCTAAATATTTATTTTTAAGCCTATTTAAATTGCATATATTTCTAATGCACGTGCAAGAGCTGCGCATGTGTGAGTAGTTATTAATTATGTTATTAAATTATAAAGAATCGATGAATTAAAATATTGTAATTGTTTGTGAATTATGTCTTTCTTATTTATTTCTTATTGCTATTAATATAATGCATGTTATTATGACACGTGGTATTTGTTACGTTTAATTTGTAGTAAAATACGAGTAAATAAGATGTATGGCACACGTGTAAAAATGCTGATTGTAAATTATTATTGTTTTTGCTGTAACTTTTGATTGAATTGCGATTTCTTCCCAATTTTTTCGTTGTTGGGAAGATAATTAGTTATATTTTATGATGATCATCAAAAATATTAATTTATTGATGGTTAAGTTAGTTAAAACTCATAATTAATTAAAATTTTCAACTAAAAAACACAATTTTTTAGTTTTAGAAGCAAATTTCTATGAGTTTCAAATAAATATTGATATTAATTTGGTTATTATATGAAATTTTATTTAATAATTGTTAAATTCAAAAGCTATTTAAATATTTATGCAAACTTTCGAGAAATACGAAGAAAATGTCTTGAAACCAAAGATTTTTTGTGTTTAATTTGTTTTCCTCTTTATTTTTAAGGCTAGCAAATGAATTAATGCCACTTTCATCAAATATCTACGTTGTGCACGTCGTCAACTCGCCAATAATCATGAGTATGATCGTCTATCAATTAATGCTAGTAAGTTTCTTGATTAAAATCGATTTAATTTACTAAAAACTTTTTTTTCATCTTTTAGGAATTCAATGTTATCTTCTTTATGCATTTACTTCTATGGACATACGCAACCAGTATCGGTTGTGTAGTCGGCCAACGTCTCAGTGACATGGTGAGTAATTATTAAAACTCAAAAAAATTAATTTTAATTATTGTAATTAACAGAGTGAATCTCTGCATGAAGCTGTCTACTGGTCGATACCACTGAGCGGCGACAATTTGCTAACCAAAGATATGCTCCTAATGATGCACATGGCGGAATTTCCAATTAAAATGACCGGCGGAGGGTTAATCTACGTCGATTACTTATTAATGGTTGCTGTAAGTGCCAATTAAATGAATTACTCGATTAAAACGTTTAATACCGACGTATTTTTCTGTTTTAAAGATTGCCAAGACCGGATATTCATATATGGCACTATTCTAATGTTTTAAACTATTGTGATTGTTGTTATTTATTAATAAATTGTAAAAAATTAAAAATTAAAAAAAAGTATTGAGAGTATTGAGAGTTGTATACTTTTAGGCGTCGTCAAAGTTACTGCCACCTAGCGGAAAATATGTAAAACTGTGTTTTTAAAAATATAAAGCTACTCATACACTTAAATAATTTAAAATTGTTATAATTAAATAATTATAACATTTAAATACAAAATAATATTTTTACAACATCCAAAAAATATTTACCTATTTTTTAAATATAAATTACTATTCCTATTTCAATTATTTATTAAAATAATAAATATTTTTCCTAAAGTGTACACTCAACTTTATATAAACTGTCAAATGTCATAAAACAAACCCCAAAGGTTATGTGCAGCGTCCAGCCGATGTTTTGATGAATTAAAACCGAATTAAAATCAACAAAACCCACAAAAATCATCAAAAAACACCTCGCATCAATAAACAAAGGTACAAATTATCACCCCCCATAAAAATATACTCTCTTTACTTTAATTTAATTTAGTAAAACAATTTTCCCTTTAGTTAAAACTGAATCACACAATGAAAACCCGAAACAAATCCAAACTAAACAAAACCAAGTGGAAAAAATCCACGGCAATGCCTCACCATCGCCTCGAAGACAAAAACGACCTTCTCAAAAACACCAAAGGCCACATCCCGGACGTATTATACACCGACAACGGCACCGTATTCTACCCATGCAAGAACTGCTGTCGAGCATTCGCCCAGAAGACCGATCTACTCAAACATCAAGTGTTTTGCTTCAATCCAGTCACACCAGTTCAACAATCAACACCAACACTACCATTAAACTCCGTGGAGAATACCATGGACTCCAATGAAAAAACCACCAAATCTCCATCAGCATCAGCATCAGCATCAGAATTAAACAACAACTACAATGAACATGGAGTGGAAGTACTTGAACTAGACTTTCAAATTGATAATAAGTCAAAATCCACAATAAAAACAAAAGTAGAAGAGAAAACATTAAAAGTAGACACAATTCCACATGGTATAAACTCATTCGACTTGAAAACAAAAGCGAAAATTGTTAAAACATTAAACAATTCACTGGAAAATAATGGATTTACTGTTTTTGTGATGAATAACGGCGATATCGTCACGAAAATGTACGCTACCAATGATTATCCACAACTGGAATTCATCACACGTTTAACCACTGATAAAGAAACAAACGTAGAAAAGGTACACATCACTCTAAAACGTTCCCAGAGTGATTCTCCTGATACCCTACCCAAGGAAATGAATGATTTACCAGAAATACCAAAATTACTCGAGAAAATCTTCGGTCAAGACGAGTTATTCACAAGATTAAACCAACAAAACGAAGAAAACGACGTTAAACAAGCCTCGGATGAGATATTAATGCACATTGATGAGGAACACTTCCCCACTGATGATCAAGTGATGTCCATGGCAGGCAGGGATGGAACTATTGTCTTAGAAGATTTGGATATTCATATATGTAAGCAATGTGGGGCTGTGTATCACACATTGAGTGACCTGGTGCTGCATGATAAGTATGACCATCGGAAGATTAAGAAAAAGTTCTCGTTGGAAGAGGTGGAAAGGTTTGGGGTTGCGTTTAAGAATAGCGTGGATAATGAGTGTCCGATTTGTTTTAAGAAGTTGAAGGGTAAAGGTAGTTGGCCAAGACATGCACAGTCGCATAGTGAGGTGGGGATGTTTCAGTGTGCGGTGTGTAAGAAGAGGTTCACGAGGGATGATCATAGGAAGAATCATGAGAGTAGGCATGTGATTTGTGTGGATTAGTGGATTGATGATTTAGTGGAGTTGGAGTTATGGGTGCAATATGAGGGTTTTTAGGTTTTTGATGAATTTTTGGTGAAGAATTGGTTGGTTTTTGGTTTAATTTTGTTTAGGGGTGGGTGGTTAGTTGGGGTATGATGTAATGAAGGAGTTTTTGTTGAATGGTGGTTTGTTTAGGAGTTATGAGGGTTTGAAGTGAGAATTATGATGATTTTTATGATTTTTTTTGGTTCTTTGGTTATAAGTCAAGAAAAAATGAAGGAATTTTGAAATTATTTTGGTGGGTGATAAGAATGATGGTAATGAATAATACTTGAAAGTTTGAACAAAATTGGAGTGATAGTTTTCTCAGAACATTGAAAAATGTGACTTAATTAAAAAAAAACATAAAATATAATATTTTATCGAAAAAATTGTTATAACTTTTAAACGCTTGGTCTGATTCTAACGAAATTTGGTATTATCAACCCCAAGAAACTATACTTTAAGCTGATAAAATGATAAACAATTAATTTTTTGTTTAAACAAAGTTATTATGGTTTTTATGTGAAAATTTTCGATAATTTTATGTTTTTTTGTAGTTTCTTGTTAATAACTAAAGAAAAAATGAAGGAAGATTGAAATTTGTCTGGGAAGATATAATATGGCTTGTAATAATTAATCCTTGAAAATTTAAACAAAATCCAAGCAATAGTTTTCTCAAAATATTGAAAAAAGTGACTTATTTTTCGAGAAGTTCTAAAATATAATATTTTATAGAAAAACACTCATAACTTCTTAACGCGTGATTAGATTTTAATGAAATTTGCAATGATGAACCCCAAGAAGTTTGACTTTAAGCCTATGAAATGCTAAACAATTAAGTTTTTGTTTAAACAAAGTTATGATTAGTTTTATAAACAAAACGAATTTTGATTTAATTTTTTACGCATCTTAGCGGTTTTTCTTTAATATCAACCAAAATATTCATCAAAAAAGTAAATCCTTCTTACCAGACATAACCAACAAGATTATACATAACCTCAACTAAGTTTCAACTCGATACCACTTTTAGTTTTTGCACAATCATCAAAAACATAAACAAAAACCTCAAAAACCATGTAATTGTAACTCGTAACTCTTAAAATGCAATATTGACTGATTGATTTCTATATATTTCTAGAATAACTAATATTTTCTATTAATAAGATTGCACTTTACACGAAGAATAACATTTAACTGTTTAAATCTATATTTTATGCAATATTAGACTGATATTCGCCTTATTATTCTTTATACTCTTGAAAAATATCAAGAAATGTAAACAAATGAAAATGATAATCAAAAATTGTTAATAATTAGTCTACATTTGATGCATTTACGATGACGAGTGCATTGAATTTGTTACGTATTCAGGCTGAATACCTCTTTGAGCGATTCACGACACGTCCTGTGATGTGCCATGTTGCGTCACACACGCGTGAGGTAATTGATTCGTCGGCGACGCATGGAATGCAAATGAAGCTCCAAATACGATCGGCATACATATTATACTCGTACAAAACGCGAGCAAACAATGCAACTAAAAGACTAAACACTAAACCGATCGCAATTGAAGGAAATTTTGTGAATTTTGTGTTTTGTTACTACTCTCATCATGTATTATGTTATTATTATAACTACAGCATATCAGCACCATAATTATTTAGTTTTATAGTGGATACTTAGTGTATGGTTACTGTGTGGGTTATGAATATTTCATCTTTTCACCTGATTATTGCAATTGGAAAATTAAAATGGAAATTACGTTTTCATGCGTATTGTATTTATGAATTATGCATTATATTATGATTATTACTTGATTGTTGAATTAGAATACCGAAATTACTGTTTGTTTAGTGATTGGAGTGAATTTACGAATAAAAACTTTGAATATAAAGAGTGCAAAAGTGTTTTTTCTGTTACTTTTTTCTTTGATTTGATTGTAAGAAGTGAAATATTTAATATTTTCATTTTATTTTTATGTAGGAATACAAAGGAAGAGTTAATTAAGCAGAATTTAAATGTTTGAGTGAATTTCAACTGAAAATAACAAAATGGCGATGTTTTAAAGTTAAAATTCCAAGTTTTTACCTGTTTTTAATGATTTTTCTTGGTTATTTGTTTATAACTTCGAGAATAATTAATATTATAATGTAAAACTGTTTTGGGGATGTAGCTAGATATATTTTTGTACTATTTACAAAGTTTGAACAACTTTGAACCATAAATACCAAAATGGCGTTGTGTTAAAGCAAACTTTTCTATTTTTGAACTTTTTCCGATGATTTTTCTCACTAAATTCTTTATAACCTCAAAACTACTAACAATTTCAATTTAATTTTGATTAACTGAACTATATCTAGGGCCCCACTGAAGCATAATCCGCCACTGTGCTAACTAAAGATATGCTGTTAATGATGCACATGGCGGAATTTCCAATTAAAATGACCGGCGGAGGGTTAATCTACGTCGATTACTTATTAATGGTTGCTGTAAGTGCCAATTAAATGAATTAGACGATTATCGAGTTTAATATTAACGTATTTTTCTGTTTTAAAGATTGCCAAGACAGGATATTCATATATGGCACTATTCTAATGTTTTAAACTATTATTATTGTTGTTATTTATAAATAAATTGTGAATAAATTGTAAAAAATTAAAAATTGAAAAAATATTGTGTATTGAGCTTTGCATACTTTTAAGCGTCGTCCAAAGCTACTGCCACCTAGCGGAAAATACGTGAAACTGTGTTTTAAAAATATAAAGCTACTCATACACATAAAAAATTTAAAAACGTTATAATTAATTAATTATAACATTTATATACAAAATAATAATTTTAACACATCAGAAATATATTTATCTACTTTTTAAATATTAATTAATACTTCTATTCGCATTATTTCCGATAATAATAAATATTATTCATTAAGTGTACACTCAGCTTTATATTACTGTCAAATGTCATAAATCAAACCCCAAAGGTTATGTGCAGCGTCCAGCCGATGTTTTGATATCTTAAAACCGAATTTAAATCAACAAAACCCACAAAAATCATCAAATAAAACACCTCACATCAATAAACAAAGGTACAAATTACTACCCCCCATAAAAACATACTCTCCTTACTTTAATTTAATTCAATAAAACAATTTTTCAACAGTTAAAACTGAATCTCACAATGAAAACCCGAAACAAATCCAAACTAAACAAAACCAAGTCGAAAAAATCCACCGCAATGCCTCACCACCGCCTCGAAGACAAAGCCGACCTCCTCAAAAACACCAAAGGCCACATCCCGGACGTATTATACACCGACAACGGCACCGTATTCTACCCATGCAAGAACTGCTGTCGAGCATTCGCCCAGAAGACAGACCTACTCAAACATCAAGTGTTTTGCTTCAATCCAGTCACACCAGTCCAACAATCAACACCAACACTACCATTAAACTCCGTGGAGAATACCATGGACTCCAATGAGAAAACCATCAAATCTCCATCAGCATTAGCATCAGCATCAGAATTAAACAACAACTACAATGAACATGGAGTAGAAGTACTTGAGTTAGACTTTCAAATTGATAATAAATCAAAATCAAGCACATCTGCATTAAAATCAAAACTAGATGAAAAAGTATTAAAAGTAGACACAATTCCACATGGTATAAACTCATTCGACTTAAAAACAAAAGCAAAAATTGTTAAAACCCTAAACAATTCATTAGAAAACAATGGATTCACTGTTTTTGTGATGAATAACGGCGATATCGTCACGAAAATGTACGCTACCAATGATTACCCACAACTGGAATTCATCACACGTTTAACCACTGATAAAGAAACAAACGTAGAAAAGGTACACATCACTCTAAAACGCTCCCAGAGTGATTCTCCTGATACCCTACCTAAAGAACTCAATAATCTACCAGAAATACCAAAGTTACTCGAGAAAATCTTCGGTGCAGACGAGTTATTCACAAGATTAAACCAACAAAATGAAGAAAACGACGTTAAACAAGCCTCGGATGAGATACTAATGCACATTGATGAGGAACACTTCCCGACTGATGATCAGGTGATGTCTATGGCTGGCAGGGATGGTACTATTGTCTTAGAAGATTTGGATATTCATATTTGTAAGCAATGTGGGGCTGTGTATCACACGCTGAGTGATTTAGTGCTGCATGATAAGTATGACCATCGGAAGATTAAGAAGAAGTTCTCGTTGGAAGAGGTGGAAAGGTTTGGGGTTGCGTTTAAGAATAGCGTGGATAATGAGTGTCCGATTTGTTTTAAGAAGTTGAAGGGTAAAGGTAGTTGGCCACGACATGCACAGTCACATAGTGAGGTGGGGATGTTTCAGTGTGCGGTGTGTAAGAAGAGGTTTACGAGGGATGATCATAGGAAGAATCATGAGAGTAGGCATGTGATTTGTGTGGATTAGTGGATTGATGATTTAGTGGAGTTGGAGTTATGGGTGCAATATAAGAGTTTTTGGGTTTTTGATGAATTTTTTGGTGAGGAATTGGATGGTTTTTGGTTAGATTTTGTGTGGATGTGGGTGGTATGTTGGGTTATGATGTTATGAAGGAATTTTTGATGGATGGTGGTTTAGTTAGGAGTTGTGAGGGTTTGAAGTGGGAATTATGATGATTTTTATAATTTTTTGGGTTTTTTTTTTGTTAATAATTAAAGAAATAATGAAGGAATTTTGAAATTATTTTGGGAGGGTGATAATAATGATGATAAGGAATAATACTAGAAAGTTTAAACAAATTTGGAGTGATAGTTTTCTCAGAATGTTGAAAAACGTGACTTAATTTTTGAAAAGATTAAAATTTAATATTTTACAGCAAAAATTGTCATAACTATTAAACGCTTGGTTCGATTTTAACGAAATTTATTATTATCAACCACAAAAAGGTTTACTATAAGCCTATGAAGTGATAAATAATTAATTTTTTGTTTAAACAAAGTTATTATGGTTTTTATGTGAAAAATTTTGATAATTTAATGATTTTTTTAGTTTTTTTGTTAATAACTTGAGAAAAAATGAAGGAATTTTGAAATCTGTATGGGAAGATATAATAAGGATTGTAATGAATAATCCTTGAAAGTTTAAACAAAATCCAAGCAATAGTTTTCTCAAAATATCGATAAAACTGACTTAGTTTTTGAGAAACTCTAATACGAATATAGACTTTTATAGAAAAACACTCATAACTTTTGAACGCGTGAATAGATTTTAATGAAATTTGCAATAATTCACCCAAAGAAGTCTTACTTTAATCTTATGAAATGATAAACAATTACTTTTTTGTAAAAACAAAGTTATGAATAATTCTATGAAGAAAACCAATTTTGATTTAATTTTTTACGCATCTTAGCAGTTTTTCTATAATACCAACAAAAGTATTCATCAAATATCTGAATCCTTCTTACCAGGCATAACCAACAACATTACACATAACCTCAAATTTGTTTGAACCCTATATCTCTTTTAGTTTTTATGCAATCATCAAAAATGTAAACAAAAACCTCAAAAACCAAGTAATTGCAACTCGTAACTCTTAAAATGCAATATTGACTGATTGTTTTCAACATATTTTTAGAATAACTAATATTTTCTTTTAATAAGATTGCACTTTACTACTTTTTATGCAATATTAGACTGATATTCGCCTTATTACTCTTTTAACTCTTGAAAATAACAAGAAATGAAAACGATAATCAAAAATTGTTCATAATTAGTCTACATTTGATGCATTTACGATGACGAGTGCATTGAATTTGTTACGTATTCAGGTTGAATACCTCTTTGAGCGATTCACGACACATCCTGTGATGTGCCATGTTGCGTCACACACGCGTGAGGTAATTGATTCGCCAACGACGCATGGAATGCAAATGAAGCTCCAAATACGATCGGCATACATATGTTATTATACAGAACGCGAGAAAACAATGCAACAAAAAGACTAAACACTAAACTGATCGCAATTGAAGGAGTTTTTTTTTGTGAATTTTGTGTTTTGTTACTACTCTCATCATGTATTATGTTATTATTATAACTTCAGCATATCAGCACCATAATTATTTAGTTTTATAGTGGATATTTAGTGTATGGTTACTGTGTGGGTTATGAATATTTCATCTTTTCACCTGATTATTGCAATTGGAAATGAAAATGGAAATTACGTTTTCATGCGTATTGTATTTATGAATTATGCATTATATTATGATTATTACTTGATTGTTGAATTAGAATACCAAAATTACTGTTTGTTTAACGATTGGAGTGAATTTACGAATAAAAACTTTGAATATAAAAAGTGTAACAGTGTTTTTTTCTGTTATTTGATTGTAAGAAGTGAAATTTTCAATATTTTCATTTTATTTTTATGTAGAAGTACAAGGAAAGAGTTAATTAAGCAAAATTTAAATGTTTGAGTGAATTTCAGCTGAAAATAACAAAATGGCGATGGTTTAAAGTTTAATTTTTAAGTTTTTACCTGTTTTTAATGATTTTTTTTGCTTATTTGTTTATAACTTCGAGAATAATTAATATTTTAACGTAAAACTGTTTTGGGGATGTAGCTAGATATATTTTTGTACTATTTACAAAGTTTGAACAACTTTGAACCTTAAATACCAAAATGGCGTTGTTTTAAAGTCAACTTTTCTGTTTTTACGCTTTTTCCTATGTTTTTTCTTACTACATTCTCTATAACCTCAAAACTAATAACAATTTCAATATAATTCTTAGGTTAGTTGTACTATATATTAATTTTGAAGTTATTTGCAAATTTTCAGCCATTACTACTAAATAATACCAAAATGGCGACGATGCAAACCCGAATTTCATCATTTTCCCAGCAATTTTATGTTTTTCTTCACTAAATTGCCAATAAAATAAGCAACAATCCAGATTTTCATTCCAAAATCTCTAAAATCAACTTTTGTCCAAACTTAACCTCAAAACAAAACCAACATAACCTTTCCAAAAAAAATCCTGCCCATTTTAAGCCAGAAACAATTAATTTCCAATGTTTATCCAATCCACAACCTTGATTAATAAACAATAACTGCCAATTGACAATGACACGTTGGTATCGATGTCGGCTATCGTTTGATATTGACTGATATTGACGAAATGCACGCGTGTGACAATGCGGGCGTTCTTGATACACAACTCCACAGAACAACACACACACGAAAAGAACAAGCAACAACCTTTTACCCGCAATGAACAACAAATATTGTAATTTGAAATTTGTCATTGTGTGCAACCTTTTATTATATAATATCTGCGCACCGCGCGGCGAATCTCCTTCAGTCGCCGGTTTGCTTTTCGAGAATAACTACAGAAACTATCAAACAATTAAGGAGCGAACGAAACGAAAGTTTTTATTAACATATTACCTATTGTTAAGTGAACTATTGTCAATTGTCAATAAAAACGAAGAGATTGAAAGTTTAAACAATTTTATATTTAAAAATTTAAAAGTAGTGTGAGAAATATGAAGAATTTTGTGTTAATTCTAACAATTGTAAGTATTTTAATCAAATTTTCGTGATTAAATCGCCTGTAACTCATTAAATAACTAATTTAACGAATTAATTACTTATGCTGAAGTTAATTATGTATATTTACTATAAATATACGCAGTTTTAATCATTTTACTCTGTGAATAACAAAATGGCGACGTTTTAAAGTTTAAATTATGTGCGACGACAGAAAAATTCTAGAACAATTCGCGCTGAACGGTTGAAATTTTTTAGGTTATGTCACTTTTGAACGACGCGAAACAAATTTACAGATTATTCCTTAATCACGCAAGTGTCCACATGAAATTATATACCAATTTATAGATAATAATTAGATTTATCGATATATTCCACTCACCAGTTTGATTTTGTAGTTTTTCATCGCCAAAACTCATCTTTAACACGGACATGATCTGGCACTTTGCACAACTTTTCACATACTTTGCTTATGCAACCCAACATACACCAAAACTAAACGTTATTATACAAAGTGTAACAAACCAATATCAACACACAATAAAATATAAAAAATATAAAATAACTTACAATTTCAAATGTTTATTGTTACAGTTGTTTATAATAAACGAATCCAACGCTAAACCATTTTTATTCAGTACATCAAAATGGGTTTATCAGCGTTTATTCGCTTCGAACGCATCAGCTGATCACAGCACACGAAACATCGAAGATTTATCCGAAGAAGGACCGATATTTCACCACGCAAACAAAACACACAAAGTAAACAATACACTAGACTCAACTGAAAGTCAAGTTGTTGATTTAACAAAAAATAAAAGCTCGAAACTTGATGAAGAGGAAGAATTCGATTTAGACAAAAACGGTTGGTGTATACAAAGTTGCCTATAGTCACCAGACAATTATAATTTTATTTAAAAAATTTTACAGAAAACAACGAAACAATGAGTGAAACACCCGGATTTTTGCATAGAAAAATCTCAAAAATATTAAACAAACTTCAATTGTACTCAGCTGTGCGTAGTACAATTCACAACGTGAGAAAACAACAAAATGGCGATGAAAATGAAACAAAACTACAAAGAATTGTTAATATTAACAATAATAATAGTTATTTACCACCTAATAACAATACAAATAACACTCTGGTAACCTCAAATGATAAAAACAAGGATGGCGACCGTGAAATTGAAGAAAATCAACAAAATGATGAATTTGACGAACGTTTTGATGAACCATTCGTGTTTGACGATGAAATTGAAGATGTAAATTCAATGAAGCATAAAAACGACAACAAATTGAGTTTAGAGACGGGGAATATTGGTATTCACATCATGGAGATCTTTGGATCGATAGCGACTATTTTCTTATCAGCTGCGTATCAAGTAGGAATGTATGCCAATTCATTTACAGGCAGTAATCAAGCATTAGTCACTAGTAAACCAATTGAAGGAGTTGGGACGACAATTAAATGGAAGATAAATAAATAAATAATTGGATTGTGGTGAAATTAAGTTGAATAAATCAATTTTTCAACGTTTTTTTGAATTTTTGTTGGTAAATTGTCAATAACTCAGAAAATAATTAATATTTTGAGTTGTGCTTTTAATAGGATGTTTATTAGGTTCTTAGGTGAATTTGTTGAAGTGAATTTCATGAAGATTGGTGATGAAATAACAAAATGGCAGCGTTTTTAAGTTTATAAAGCAATACACAACTCCCTACTATAGGCAACAATGTATACACCAAACAAGCATAGTCAAAATAACACATAGAGCAACACTCTACTATAGGCAACCATTCATACACCAAACAAACTCAAAGCAACACATACATCTCAACTATATGCAACCATACATACCCCAAACAAACAAAACTAAACACTTTCAGTATTTCATTAGTATTTAATTCATTATCAATCACTTACATAGTTTTAACATATAGAAACCATTGTTATCATTCAAAACCTTTATAATATCCTCTTTAACCTTACAAAGCAAAACCCAGAGCAGGAATATACATCAACGCGATATTAATGTAGCTGTCCTCCTTCTCAAGGTCACCAATCAACGCCTTGATCTTGTTCTGCAGCATTGGATCAGCCACCTCCTTCTGATCCTGCACTTTCCTCAACAAATACCCTAATTGATAAGCAGAGGAACCTCCAGAGACAATATTTAGGTCTTTTACGATTGTTTCCGAGAAACCGTTGAAGCGATTGAGGCCCAAACGTTTGGTTTCCTTGTTGAACAAATCGTAGATTGATAAGAGAGTAACGTAGGCACGCGTGGGTGGTACTTTCTTTTGTTTTAACCAGCGTAGGAGGTCGGAGTTGCGGGCGTCGTCGTCGAAGGTCTCGAGGAAGTCTTCGAAGGAATTGTCGGCTAAGTCGATGTTGATTGCGCGATGCAGGTCCTTGGCGCCGTCTCCGAGGAGCTCCAGGTCTAGTTCATGGATGCCTGCGGGTAGGAAGGGTTCATGTTGGCGAATGATGGATCCTAGAGATGATTGAGCCATTTTTCTGTGGAATAAACAAGGTTTTATGATGAAAAATTTGTTGAATTTTTGTGGAAAAATTTATGTTTTATGTTTTATGTTTTATGTTTTAAGGGTGTTCCTGATAAGATAGAAGGTTGATTTAAATTTGAGGGGATAGACACACTCTTTGGCTTTGGTTTACCGTTAAAATATTTTATAATTTGTTTATAGTTATTTTTCTACAGAGTGTTTTCCAAGACGTGTTTTGTAAATTTTAGAAATTTGGTGATTTTTGAATGTAATTTAAGGGTTGTTATTATTAATTTGGAACACTTTGTATATATGGGGCTGATAGATAATGTCTTTGTCTATAGATTAGTGAAACAAAATTGTTAATTTATGTCTGGGTTTGGTATTTACAGGGAGTTTAAAAACACGGTTTTTTAATATTTTCAAAATTACGTATTTTTTAATTGCATTTTAAGGGGTGTAATTATTAAAACTTTGTATATATTATCTACCAAGGTGATAGAGTAACTCTTTATCTTTGATTATCATCAAAAATAATTGAATTATCACTAATAGTTTGTAATCTACGGAGTGTTTTCCAAAACAAGTTTTTAAAAATTCTCAAAACTTGCCATTTTTCAAATTTAATTTAAGCCATGTTCCCCTCAAGTAAAATAAATAAAATTTAATAGAAATAATAAAGAAACTCTTTCTCTTTAAATTAGTAAAAAAATATTCCACAAATAATTAATACTTATTCATATACAGAGCGTTTTGTAACCGCATGTTTTTCAAATATTAAATTTTCTTACTTTGTGAGTATTGCCTTAAATCCTCGATGTGGGGGTGGCGCAACGGGTGCAAACACACCCGGGCGATGTGGGGGCGTCGGCCTGGGGGCGGCTGTCGTCGTCGACTGCGCTGGCTGTGCCGGCTGCGGTCGCAGTTCGTACTTCATCGCCTCGGTGAGATAAGCAATCACCTGCATCGTTGCCGGCAGATAAGAGTCAGAGTATTGCGGGTTCAACTCAAACTGGGGGCGGCTGGCATTACCCAGGTCATTTAACTAGAAAACATCACATTTTAATAAATATTATTTTATAGCATCTTTAATCATGTTTTTAAGTTTTGCAAAAATTTAATTTTAGTTTTTTGTTAATAACTCGGAAACTAATTAACTTTTTTAGGGTTTTCTTTTTGTAATTAATTAAGTATTAAATTTTACATTAGATTAAAAAAAGATTTTGTTGATAAGAGTGTTTTATCAGTAGTTACAAGACATTTTGTGTCTGTTTTTTAAGAAAATGAAATAAAATTGAAGTTAAATTGTTAATAACTTTTTGTGTAATAAGCCGATCAACAAAATTTTAACGTAAAAAGATGAAGAATTTATTCTAGTATCTAGTAATAAAAGAACCGTTACTATAATTTAAATATTTTATGAGTTATTTAACAAAATATTTGCATTTTCCTAACTTGATGCTGAAATAATTGTGACATAGGTTTAGTTTTTTATTATTAACTCATAAACAAATTAATATTTTTACACAAATCTTTTACTAATCTATTCAGTATTAAATTCTCTACCAATTCGTGTAAAAATATTAATTGAAAATTATTTATTATCAACAATAATCAATAAACTTGTCACAATCTCTAAATTTACATAAAATTCAACTTTAATTGTTTATAACTTTTGTCTAATAAAGCTATCAACAATATTTTGAATCATATAGACATAGAATTTAATAGAGAATCCATTTAAAAAGAATAATTAAAATAACTCTATTATTTAATCAATAATCAACAAAAACTAAACATAATCAACCCAAAAACTTACCACGACAAAACCGCCAAAAACAAAAACTTTCCCAGACATTTCGCTGATATCTTCACAAAACCCACTTTAAATCACACAAAACAACAAAAACACTCAAATTCAAATATAAACTAAATCTAAACTAAATATTACTGCGATAAACGCGAAGAGTCACGCCACGAGCACACAAATCGGCGCGAGTTTCGCGAAGATCACGCTCCGAATAAACCGAAAACACGTTGTGTTGATGTCGATGTCGGTGTCGGTGTCGGTGTCGGTGTCTCCAGCGACTAATGGCGACTTCTTCTTCGTCTTCTTTTCGCTCGCGGTCGGCGTCTGGCGTCATCGTCGTCGGCTTCGTTTTGTTCGACTTCTGGTTTATCGCGTTTACCGCTCGCATCGATGACTAACAAACTAACAGCGCGTGGCAACAGGAGTCAACAAGAAGCCAATAAACGGCAAACTCGTAAAAAGTTTCTTTTGAATACAAATACTCAGATTATACCCGAGAGAATTTATAGGTTATGTTGCGCAGTGTAATTTCATGTGGAGTTTATGCTTGTATTGTCAAAATGACAGCGGGGAATGTCAAAAATGTCACAAAAAGGTTAAAAGGTCAAAAACTGTCAAAAAACGATTAATTTTATTAGTTTTTATTAATTTTGATGATTTTTAAGGTTAAAAAAGGCTTAAAACGTGTAAAATCAATAAATTTAGTTAAATTTCGATGAAAATCTGTCAAATTTAACCTAAAAACTTAAATTTTTAAAAATTACTACAAATACTCAGATTATACCCGAGAGAATTTATAGGTTATGTTATAAAGTGTAATTTTATGTGGAGTTTATGCGTATATTGTCAAAATGACAGCGGGGAATGTCAAAAATGTCACAAAAAGGTTAAAAAGGTCAAAAACTGTCAAAAAACGATTAATTTTATTAGTTTTTATTAATTTTGATAATAACTACAGAAACTATCAAACAATTAAGGAGCGAACGAAACGAAAGTTTTTATTAACATATTACCTATTGTTAAGTGAACTATTGTCAATTGTCAATAAAAACGAAGAGATTGAAAGAATAAACAGTTTTGAATCAGAAATTTAAAAGAAGTGAGAGAAATATGAAGAATTTTGGGTTAATTTTAACGATTGTAAGTATTTCAATGTATTTTTCATGATTAAATCGCTTGTAACTCATTAAATAACTAATTTAACGAGTTAATTACTTATCCTGAAGATAATTAGGTATATCTACTATAAACATACGCAGTTTTAATCACTTTACTCTGCAGATAACAAAATGGCGACGTTTTAAAGTTTAAATTATGTGCGACGACAGAAAAATTCTAGAACAATTCGCGCAGAACGGTTGAAATTTTCTAGGTTATGTCACTTTTGAACGACGCGAAACAAATTCACAGATTATTCGCAAATCACGCAAGTGTCCACATGAAATTATATACCAATTTGTAGATAAAAGTTAGATTTATCGATATATTCCACTCACCAGTTTGATTTTGTAGTTTTTCATCGCCAAAACTCATCTTTAACACGGACATGATCTGGCACTTTGCACAACTTTCACACACTTTGCTTATGCAACCCAACATACACCAAAACTAAAAATTAATATACAAAGTGTAACAAACCATTATCAACACAAAATAAAATATAAAAAATATAAAATAACTTACAAGTTTAAATGTTTATTGTTGCAGTTGTTTATAATAAACGAATCCAATGCTAAACCATTTTTATTCAGCACATCAAAATGGGTTTATCAGCGTTTATTCGCTTCGAACGCATCAGCTGATCACAGCACACAAAACATCGAAGATTTATCCGAAGAAGGACCGATATTTCACCACGCAAACAAAACACACAAAGTAAACAATACACTAGACTCAACAGAAAGTCAAGTTGTTGATTTAACAAAGAATAAAAGCTCGAAACTTGATGAATTTGCGCCGAATGAAGAGGAAGAATTTGATTTGGACAAAAACGGTTGGTGTATACAAAGTTGCCTATAGTCACAAGACAATTATAATTTTTATTTAAAAATTTTTACAGAAAACAACGAAACAATGAGTGAAACACCAGGATTTTTGCATAGAAAAATCTCAAAAATATTAAACAAACTACAATTGTACTCAGCAGTGCGTAGTACAATTCACAACGTGAGGAAACAACAAAATGGCGATGAAAATGAATCAAAACTACAAAGAATTGTTAATATTAGCAATAATAACAGTTATTTACCACCTAATGATAAAACAAATAACACTCAGGTAACCTCAAATGATGAAAACAAAGATGGCGACCGTGAAAATGACGAAAATCAACAAAATGATGAATTCGACGAGCGTTTTGATGAACCATTCGTGTTCGACGATGAAGTTGAAGATGTAAATGCTATGAAGCATAAAAACGACAACAAATTGAGTTTAGAAACGGGGAATATCGGTATTCACATCATGGAGATCTTTGGATCGATAGCAACCATTTTCTTATCAGCTGCGTATCAAGTTGGAATGTATGCCAATTCATTTACAGGCAGTAATCAAGCATTAGTCACTAGTAAACCAATTGAAGGAGTTGGGACGACAATTAAATGGAAGATAAATAAATAAATAATTGGATTGTGGTGAAATTAAGTTGAATAAATCAATTTTTCAACGTTTTTTTGAATTTTTGTTGGTAAATTGACAATAACTCAGAAAATAATTAATATTTTGAGTTGTGCTTTTAATAGGATGTTTATTAGGTTCTTAGGTGTATTTGTTGAAAATTTCATGAAGATTCATCAAGAAATAACAAAATGGCAGCGTTTTTAAGTTGAAAAAGCAATACATAACTCTCGACTATAGGCAACCATGCATACACCAAACAAACATTGTCAAAGTAACACATAGAGAAACACTCTACTATAGGCAACCATTCATACATCAAACAAACCCAATACAACACATACATCTCAACTATATGCAACCATACATACACAAAACAAACAAAACTAAACACTTTCAGTATTTCATTAGTATTTAATTCATTATCAATCACTTACATAGTTTTAACATACAGAAACCATTATTATCATTCAAAACCTTTATAATATCCTCTTTAAACTTACAAAGCGAAACCCAGAGCAGGAATATACATCAACGCGATATTAATGTAGCTGTCCTCCATCTCAAGGTCACCAATCAACGCCTTGATCTTATTCTGCAACATTGGATCAGCCACCTCCTTCTGATCCTGCACTTTCCTCAACAAATACCCTAATTGATAAGCAGAGGAACCTCCAGAGACAACATTTAGGTCTTTACGATTGTTTCCGAGAAACCGTTGAAGCGATTGAGGCCCAAACGTTTGGTTTCCTTGTTGAACAAATCGTAGATTGATAAGAGAGTAACGTAGGCACGCGTGGGTGGTACTTTCTTTGTTTTAACCAGCGTAGGAGGTCGGAGTTGCGGGCGTCGTCGTCGAAGGTCTCGAGGAAGTCTTCGAAGGAATTGTCGGCTAAGTCAATGTTTATTGCGCGATGCAGGTCCTTGGCGCCGTCTCCGAGGAGTTCCAGGTCTAGTTCATGGATGCCTGCAGGTAGGAAGGGTTCATGTTGGCGGATGATGGATCCTAGAGATGATTGAGCCATTTTTCTGTGGAATAATAAGGGTTTTAAGATGAAAATTTGTAAATTTTTTGTGGAAAAATTTATGTTTTATGTTTTATGTTTTATGTTTTAAGGGTGTTCCTGATAAGATAGAAGGTTGATTTAAATTTGAGGGGATAGACACACTCTTTGGCTTTGGTTTGCCGTTGAAATATTTTAAAATTTGTTTAAATGTATTTTTCTACAGAGTGTTTTCTAAGGCGTGTTTTGCAAATTTTTGAAATTTTGTGATTTTTGAATGTAATTTAAGGGTTGCTTTGATTAATTTACCACACTTTGTATATACGGAACTGATAGAGGATGTTTTTGTCTATAATTTACTAAAGAAAAATTATTAATTTATGTCACGGTTTGTTATTTACAGGGAGTTTAAAAACACGGTTTTTCAATATTTTCAAAAATACGTATTTTTCAATTGCATTTTAAGGCGTGTAATTATTAAAACTTTGTATATATTATCTACCAAAGTGATAAAGTAACTCTTCATCTTTGATTATCATCAAAAATAATTAAATTATCACTAATAGTTTGTAATCTACGGAGTGTTTTCCAAAACAAGTTTTTAAAAATTCTCAAAACTTGCCATTTTTCAAATTTAATTTAAGCCATGTTCCCCTCAAGTAAAATAAATAAAATTTAATAGAAATAATAAAGAAACTCTTTCTCTTTAAATTAGTAAAAAAATATTCCACAAATAATTAATACTTATTCATATACAGAGCGTTTTGTAACCGCATGTTTTTCAAATATTAAATTTTCTTACTTTGTGAGTATTGCCTTAAATCCTCGATGTGGGGGTGGCGCAACGGGTGCAAACACTCCCGGGCGATGCGGGGGCGTCGGCCTGGGGGCGGCGGTCGTCGTCGGCTGCGCTGGCTGTGCCGGCTGCGGTCGCAGTTCGTACTTCATCGCCTCGGTAAGATAAGCAATCACCTGCATTGTTGCCGGCAGATAAGAGTCAGAGTATTGCGGGTTCAACTCAAACTGGGGGCGGCTGGCATTACCCAGGTCATTTAACTAGAAAACATCACATTTTAATAAATATTATTTTATAGCATCTTTAATCATGTTTTTAAGTTTTGCAAAAATTTAATTTTAGTTTTTGTTAATAACTCGGAAACTAATTAACTTTTTAGGTTTTCTTTTTGTAATTAATTAAGTATTAAATTTTACATTAGATTAAAAAAAGATTTTGTTGATAAGAGTGTTTTATCAGTAGTTACAAGACATTTTGTGTCTGTTTTTTAAGAAAATGAAATAAAATTGAAGTTAAATTGTTAATAACTTTTTGTGTAATAAGCCGATCAACAAAATTTTAACGTAAAAAGATGAAGAATTTATTCTAGTATCTAGTAATAAAAGAACCGTTACTATAATTTAAATATTTTATGAGTTATTTAACAAAATATTTGCATTTTCCTAACTTGATGCTGAAATAATTGTGACATAGGTTTAGTTTTTTATTATTAACTCATAAACAAATTAATATTTTTACACAAATCTTTTACTAATCTATTCAGTATTAAATTCTCTACCAATTCGTGTAAAAATATTAATTGAAAATTATTTATTATCAACAATAATCAATAAACTTGTCACAATCTCTAAATTTACATAAAATTCAACTTTAATTGTTTATAACTTTTTGTCTAATAAAGCTATCAACAATATTTTGAATCATATAGACATAGAATTTAATAGAGAATCCATTTAAAAAAGAATAATTAAAATAACTCTATTATTTAATCAATAATCAACAAAAAAACTAAACATAATCAACCCAAAAAACTTACCACGACAAAAACCGCCAAAAAAACAAAAACTTTCCCAGACATTTCGCTGATATCTTCACAAAAACCCACTTTAAATCACACAAAACAACAAAAACACTCAAATTCAAATATAAACTAAATCTAAACTAAATATTACTGCGATAAACGCGAACAGTCACGCCACGAGCACACAAATCGGCGCGAGTTTCGCGAAGATCACGCTCCGAATAAACCGAAAACACGTTGTGTTGATGTCGATGTTGATGTCGGTGTCGGTGTCGGTGTCTCCAGCGACTAATGGCGACTTCTTCTTCGTCTTCTTTTCGCTCGCGGTCGGCGTCTGGCGTCATCGTCGTCGGCTTCGTTTTGTTCGACTTCTGGTTTATCGCGTTTACCGCTCGCATCGATGACTAACAAACTAACTGCGCGTCGCAACAGGAGTCAACAAGAAGCCAATAAACGGCAAACTCGTAAAAAGTTTCTTTTGAATACAAATACTCAGATTATACCCGAGAGAATTTATAGGTTATGTTGCGCAGTGTAATTTTATGTGGAGTTTATGTGTATATTGTCAAAATGACAGCGGGGAATGTCAAAAATGTCACAAAAAGGTTAAAAAGGTCAAAAACTGTCAAAAATTGATTATTTTTATTAGTTTTTATTAATTTTGATGATTTTTAAGGTTAAAAAGGGCTTAAAACGTGTAAAATCAATAAATTTAGTTAAATTTCGATGAAAATCTGTCAAATTTAACCTAAAAACTTAAATTTTTAAAAATTACTACAAATACTCAGATTATACCCGAGAGAATTTATAGGTTATGTTATAAAGTGTAATTTTATGTGGAGGTTATGCGTATATTGTCAATATGACAACGGGGAATGTCAAAAATGTCAAAAAAGGTTAAAAAGGTCAAAAACTGTCAAAAACGATTAATTTTATTAGTTTTTATTAATTTTGATGATTTTTAAGGTTAAAAAAGGCTTAAAACGTGTAAAATCAATAAATTTAGTTAAATTTCAACGAAAATCTGTCAAATTTAACCTAAAAACTTAAATTTTCAAAAATTTATTCATAAAATTAAAATAATCGTGTTTACCCTGTATATTTATATGTAGATAAAGTTAACTACTTTGTCCTGATGTTTATGGAATCGAACAGGTTCCGAATTAAAACACAAATCAACGTTTGATGACCTTGAATCCGCCGCTGGTTTTAATATCTCGCCACTCGAAAGTTAATGAACTCAGATTGTGTTGTTATGCACACACACGTTGTCATGACAACAATTAAACACGTAAACAAACATATCAAGTGTCACACTCACCGCGCTCAACACTCACTCAACTGGTTGTTGGTAGGCAACCCAATATACACCACTACACTACTGCTATATAAGTGTGTTTGTAGGTTGGTGTGTGTGTTGAAAGTAATTACGAATTACGCTTTCCATTATTCTTTATCACTCTTGATTGAAAATAAATCCGCTCGGTGCGGAGAGGCTGAGCTGGCGGTGTTGGCGGTAGTGGCATAGCAACAATCCAATCGCTCGGAGGCGGTGGTGGAGGCGGCGAAGGCGGCGGTGGCTAATCCTTGCGCGTAACACGTTTACAACTCCGTTGAACAACCCCCAACCCACGGCCACGGCGTGTCCGCATCTGCAACGGAATTGAATTGAATAAAATTCGAAATTGCGTGAATTCAACGCGGAAACATGGCGACACGCCATTTGGAAGCACTTGATGTGAATGAATTAAATTGCATTCTTAGTTATTGGCCCGTAATTCGCGTAAATATAACCGCAGAGAGTTGGGTGAAATGTTGTTTGAAAGAGAATTTAATACGGATTTATATTATTTTGAGTTGATGTTTTTGAGTTTTGTTGGTTTGAATGAAAATTTTGAGTTTTTGTAGTTTTTTTTAGAAAATTGTTTATAACTTTTAAAGTAGTGAAGATAGAAAGTTGATTCTTGCTTGATTGCATAGATAATTAAATTGTTTATTAAAATGAGCTTGAAAAAATTAGTTAAATGTTGTGGTTTGTTTGTTATTGTCAATTAAACAAACAAAAAAATTACAATTTTTTTGGTTAAAAATTAGCAATTTTCAAAACGCTGTAACTCAGCAAATAAAATTTATAGGGCATATGTTTAAAAACAATTAGAAAGTAAATTTAATGTAGATTAAGTCTACCAAAGGACAAAATAATTAAAAACGTGGATTTTTTGTAATATAACAAAATGTACACAAATTGAATGTTTACGTACCCAAAGCAAAAATCATCAATAACTCAAAAACCAAAAAAGCTACTTTAATAATTTTTTTACTAATTAATAGAAAATAAAAAGTCTCTATCGATATCATAAAAAACATTTAAGAAACCTTTTACGGTTTGTTTGTTATTCACAATCAAAATAACAAATCACATAAAAATTTAGGTTAAAAGTTGTTAATGTTTGCAGCGTCATAACTCAGTAAATAAAAATTATAGAGCATTGTTGTAAACGCGGTTACAAAGCAAATTTAATGTAGATTAATTCTGCCAAAGGACAAAAAAATTAAAAATGTGGATTTTTTGTAATCTAACAAAATGTAAGCAAAATGAAAATGTACTCAAAACAAAAATCATCAATAACTCAAAAACTAAAAAAGCTACTTTAATAATTTTTTTACTATTAAATAGACAATAAAATTCACTTTCGATATCATAAAAAATATTTTAAAAAACTTTTAAGGTTTGTTAGTTATTAACAATTAAAATAACAATCCACATAAAAATTTAGGTCAAAAGTTCTCAATGTTTGCCGCGTCATATCTCAGTAAATAAAAATTATACAAACTTGATAAAAACATAATTAAAAAGATAATTTAATGAAGTTTATTCCTACCAAAGTACAAAACAATCAAAAATGTAGTTTTTTTATAATCACTCAAAACATAACCACTATACATTTTTGACTCCATCTACAAAAACCTTCAATAACTCAAAAACTAAAACAGATATAACCTCAATCTAAACGTCCACATATAGATCCTAACCACAACTATAAACAGGACCACTAATAATCCCACATTTTACAACCACATATCCGTAATTAAAGAAAAACAAAACAATCTCTCGCAACATGTGTCCAACACGCGCACCGCTATTATTTTTTAATTAAAAATTTAATTACGCACCGCTTATAAAGTTTGTGGGCTTATCTTGAGTAATAAATCTCTCAATAACACGTCTCTAACGGTGGTCCACGACACGAGTCCTCGATAAATTAACAAATAACCCAATCCACCGAAAACTAATTAACATCAACACGTGCTACTTCTACCGCTTCGCGCGCTAATTAGAAAAAACTTTTCCAGTTAATGATCGAAATGAAGCGATACCAACATGCGCACAATTAGTGCACATGTTTTCTGATTTGAATTTTTATTAAATGCCAACGCAATTCGCATCAGTCTAATTTTAATTAAACTTTCCGAACTCCATTCGAATATTTTTAATTAACTTCGGGATTGAATTTAAATTACATTTTATGTTTTATGCGTGGTGCATAACATTTGTGATGTTATCATTATGTTTATATGCTTAAAATAGGTTTTTATTTAATTTTTTACCGAATATTAATCTTTTTTTGAAGAGTTTTTAAAGCTTAACGGTTTTTATGTGATAAAAAACGTTGAATATCTTGTTTTGTAATGTAATCTGATAGTTGTTGATATGAGTAAGTTATGAGATAATATATTGCTGATATGACAATAAATTTTGAACGCAATCAAGCAGTAAACAAAGGAGTTATTAATGAAAATGTTAATTTTAACCTCAAAATTTTCATGTGGATGAAAAATGTTGTGATTTGGTTTTAACATGTTTTAACTGTGAAAAATGGATGTAATAGTGCATTAAAAGGTGAGAAAGTATTAATACATTCTTCTGCTTAGTGATTTTATTGATATTTTCATGTTTTAAGGGTTTTAGGAGCACTGCGAAGCACTAAGCGAAGAAAATCAATGCTCAACATGTAAATCAATGCATTTCAATCACAAAATGCATCACAACTATTTAAATAATACAACTACACACTACTCTGGACAATATTAGCATTTGACAATAGTGTAAATATAACATTTTGTCTGTTTTTAAGCAATTTATGATAAAACTGTAAATTTAGAAAGTTTCAGTTGAAAATCATGCCTTTCATGTGTACAATGATAAGTTTTGGTACTAAAAAGTTTAAATGCGTTTATTATTACATTTATTCATTAATTTTTTAAACTTTTATTGCTTTAGCTGATAAAATTGATGGAATTATGAAGGTACCAGCTGGTTCTTCAACAATTAAAATTGCACATTGCACAATTGACTGTTTTTATTGCAAACTTTCATAATATTCAAATATACAATAAATATTCACTTCATATTTGACTTGCATTCATTGCTGTTCGTGGTTTTGGTCAATAATCATCAGAAAAACATAGTTTTAAGTCAAATTTCAAGAAAGTAATCATGTGGAAGGTTATAGGATTGATCAGTATACAAATAATTGTAAGTCGAGTGAAAATTTATTGTTTTAGTTATAATTTAGTGTAAAACTGATGAAATTCATTGTCTAGGCATGAAATATTAACATATTCTTTACTTTTTAGATGATAATCACTGCTAGAACACTAAATATGAACATTTCCGATGAAAAACATCAAATTCTGAAGAAATTCAACAAAATAATGAAGATTTTGATTCTGAGTTAATCAACGCTGAAGAAACAACTGTAATTCCACAGTTTGACATCCAAAACATCATAACAACAATCCAAACACTTGATAATAATGATACAAGTAGTATTAGTGAGGATTCTCAACTGGATAAAACACTTATTCTTAAATTTGGAGCTGGGCATGATCATACAAAGTATATTGGTGCATTTGGACACATAATCAACCCTATAAAGGATAAATTTCATCAGTGGACGGCGTATCTGACGCATCCCAATGTGGGCATATCGTCATTCATAAAGAAACCGGTTATATTGTTGCAGAAACTGCATCAGAAAGGAGCCAATTTGTTGGCGGGGGCGAATGGTGTGCTTTTTGGTGCAGATGAGTTTACTGATTATCCTTATCCATATAGGAAGGTTATAGGGGTCGTTGAGAAGGTGGATAAGGGTGTAGGTGTTAAGAATGTTGATGAAAATGATTAGAAAGATTAGAATATAGAGGACGATTGAATATATGCTTTAAATTATTCAAATTAGTAGTTCATTTTTGAGTTTATTGTGTTTTTAGGTTATGTTGGAGTATATGTTAAAATTATGAGTTTTTATGTATAAAACATAGAGAAATACAAATATTTTATGAATATTTAGGGTAATTGTTCAGTTTATTATGTTTTTGGTTGAGTTGTGTTGAAACAATTGTTTTAAACTCTTTTAGAACATGGAAAATTATGATTTTTGATCAAAAATTGCTTAAATTTTGTTCATTTTTGAAAGTAAAATTGTTTTATCAATAATATTTCATGTCTATATATACAAAATTATTGAGTTTTGCTTTATACTTAATAATTATGTGTTTGACAACTTGTAAAATGACAGTAGAACACTAATTTTGGAAGATATAACTAAAAAAAATACAAAACATTCAAAATTACATAAAAAACTTATAAAATCAATACAAATTTAATAATATTGAAGAAAACAATGTAAAGTTAACATTTTTGTATGTTTAAACAAAAGAATTGTCTTCTATTTATGGATTAACTGTTTAAAAACTTGTTAAGTGTCGTTAAAACACCAGATTTGACTTAAAAACATATAAAACAATAGAAATATCAACAAAAACTTACATAATCACTAAAAATTTAAGTAATATTGAAGAAAACAATGCAAAGTCATCAAATTTTCACAATTTTACACGTTATTTCATTGATATTTCTTATATTTTACGAATAATTATAAAAATATTGTCTACAAAACCAGAAAAACCAAACTTTTCTTCAAAAACAACAGTAAAACATAATAAATCATATCAATTTCAAGATAAAACACACAGAAACACAACAAGACATGCTCTAAGCAGCAATGCCATCACATTTTGAATATATCAGACTCCAGACTAAAGATTTATCTCAAAAAAGTACAAAACAACAGAAATATCAACAAAAAAATTGAATAATCACTAAAAACTCAATAATATTGAAGAAAACTATGTAAATTCATTAAATTTTCATCATTTTACACCTTATTTCACTAATATTTCTTATATTTTAGAAACAACTAAGAAAACATCACATACAACACCACAAAAACCAAGTTTTCTTCAGAAACAACAACAAAACACAAGAATTTCAAGATAAATCACAGAAAAACAAGATCTAAGCATCAAAGTCATCACATTTTGAAGATAACAGATAACAGGCACAGACAAACAATATTATAACATTGCTTTTCAAAGATTTACCTCAAAAACGTACAAAACAACTGAAATATCAACAAAAAAACCTATAAAATAACGAAAAACTCAATAATATTGAAGAAAACAATGCAAATTCATAAAATTTTCACAATTTTACACAACATTTCACTAATATTTCTTATATTTCAGGAACAACCAAGAAAACATCACCTACAACACCACAAAACCAAACTTCCCAACAAAAACAACCACAAAACACAAGAAATCCCATAACTTTCAAGATAATTCACATAAAACCATAAAAAAAAACTAAAAACATCCACAACAAGACAACATCTACAAATCTACATCTACTACATTTACTGCTAAAGAGAATGTCAGCACCTTTCCCCGATAGATAACACATAGATACCAGACACAGATAGATATCTCTAAGCATCTCACCTCATGCTCCTGCTGCCTCCTGCTTACCTCACACACACACATCCACCAGCCGCACGTTCCTGCCGGGTAGTCGTTCTCAACGCGCACGTTTCTACTCTCCTGCGGATGCCTGCGACGACGCTGTTCAATGTCGCAGTGCACGCCTGCTGCCCAGGCAGCGATGCGAGTTCCTGCTGAACACCGAGTCAGTTGTGTTTGATCCGAGGCCTCGTGCAGTCGGACAATCAAAAACCGCGCTCGCACACGCATCGCGTTGATTGTTTATCGTTGGATCCCGGCGAAGATAACAAGGATACGCATTAGATTCGGACACTTTTTTATATATTATATAATTATTGATTTGTGTGGATATGTGTGTGTTGAGATGAAATTTGACTGAAATTCACATCGAAATTGTTGACATCGAATTTTTTGAAAGTTTGCAAAGTTTTTGTATGGATATTGATGGATTATTTATATGCGTATTGAGATTTTGAATGATATGGTGAGTTTTTGAATTGTTTTGTTTTATGTTTAAGAGTTTGACCTTGCTGTGCTGTGTAAGAACCGCAAGGTTTTTTACATGCTTAATATTAAACATTGAATACAAGTCAACGCATACTTTCACAGTTAGTTAAGAAGTTGTAAAATTGAGGATATGTTGTTTGAATGTTGTTTGAGTATTTTTGTTTTGTTAATGAAGAGTGATTATTTGGTTGTAGGATGTTTTAAAGTGTTGTTGCATGGTGATGACACATTTGTGAAGAGATTTTTGTGTTTTTATGAATAATTTTTATTTGGTTATGGTTTATGGTATTGTGAAAGTTTGAGGATGGTTTAGGAGTGATTTATGATAAATTTTGATGATAGTTTATGTTTAATTTTGAGTTTTTAAGAATTGGTTTGCTAAAATATGATTTTTTGTACTTTTGGCGTGTTTTTTGATGATTTTTCTTTAAACTTTCTTTAAAAACAATGTTTGATGCTGTAATTTTGTTGATTATACATCAATATTATTAATTTATAGGTTTTTATGTTTTTAAATTGTTAAAAACTTTTTTTTTTAAATTTGGTAAAATTTATCTTATTTTGTTTTATAGGTTATATTTTCCCGATTATTCCTAAAATATATGAAATATTAATGAAATAACGTGTAAAATGATGAAAATTTGATGAATTTGCATTGTTTTATTCAATATTACTTAAATTTTTAGTGATTATATGAGTTTTTGTTGATATTTCTAATGCTTTGTATGTTTTTGAGTCAAATCTGGTGTTTTAATGATATTTAACATGTTTTTAAACAATTAATCCATAAATATAAGACAATTATTGTGTTAAAACATACCAATTTGTTGATTTTACATTGTTTGAACATTAATATTAATAATTAGTGGGTTTATATGTTTTTAAATTGTTGAAAACTGTAATTTTTGAAAAATTTTCCAAAATTTTTGTGTTTTTGGTTATTTTTCTAGGTTTTTATAAAGTTTTTGGCCTATTTCTTGTAAAATCCAAAACATAAATTAGAAATGTTTGAAATAAGTTCTAAGAATAGTTTAAAGTTAAAAACCTTAGAAAATCTGTTAGTTTTTCTTTTTTTCTGTGAAAATTCTTCATTTTTCACGTTTTTCCAAAGGTTTAAAACAATTTCAACAAGGAATCTTCTCTAATTTCTACCTGGAACATAAATAATAGTTTTTATTAAGTTAATATTCTTTAAAATGTTAGAAATGTTATAATTCTATGCAAATATAGGTTAAAAATTAGTTTTTAGGTTATATTTGGAAGTAATTTTACAAATTTATGCTAAGATGAAGTTGTAAATGCTGCAAAATGCTCAGGAATATTAATAATTGGTTCTAGGAATAGTTATTTTCTTTAAAATTATAAAATTATGCGACTTTTGTCAAGTTTTAATCAAAAAACTTCCTATTTGATGTTTTTCTTGACGTTCTTTTGATTATAATTCTAAGAAAACATGATACACCACTAAACTCTTTTGCAACTATATAAAGAAGTAATTAACTTTTCTTAATCACTTAATTTTGACAGTTTTTTGATGATAAATATTAAACTGATAAAATACGGTTTAAAATGATCAACCTATATCCTTTAAAATACGTGTACAAAAAAAGTAGGACACAAGTACATAAACCAGGAAGCACAATAGAAAAGAGAAATGCTTTGATGTTTTATGTGACGTTTCGGTTTACTATAAGCCTGCGCCTTTTGTCAGCGCTCTCCTGCCGAGTCCTTTCAAGTTATCTGCTTTTTATTATCCGTGTGCGCTCCAAAGAATCCGACATTTATAAGGATATATCTCTATAAACGTCAGGAACTATTATTATTAAACTATAAACCTCAATTTTAATTGCTGCGGTAGCTTTATAATATAATAGCCAACCATTTTGTTTATTAAATAGGAAATTATTCAAAATGGCTGAAATTTTATAGGTTATGAAGAAACTAACCTTAAAAATTGAATTATTTGATTGAAAACAATGAAAATTCAACATTTTTATATGTTTTAACGAAATATTGAGAAGATTTGTTACATATTTATGAATTAATTGTTTAAAAACTTGTTATATGTCATTAAAACTCCAGATTTGATTAAAAAATATACAAAACAATAGAAATATCAACAAAAACTTATATAATCACTATAAACTTAAGTAATATTGAAGAAAACAAGGTAAATTCTTAAATTTTAATGATTTTACACATTATTTCATTAATATTTCTTATATTTTAAGAATATTCAGTAAAATATTGTCTACAAAACCATAAAAATCAATTGATAAACACAAAATTCAATAAAAAGTATTAATTTTAAGATAAAACACTCAAATAAAAAGAAAAAATAAAGATTTCCAAGAATTAATCCCTAAAACCGTCAAATAATTATTATTTAACTTTAAACTATTCTTTTCAATAGTTATAGTAATTTTAATAAGGAGCCATTTTGTTTATTGCGTAGTTATTGCTGATTCAAGATGGCTGAGATTGTATAAACTGCGGAAATTAGCATAAAATAATTGCATGGCACAAAGTAGCAAAAACAAGTTGAAACGTTTTTAAATTCAAATTACGTACTCGCACACTCTACTCCTCTACTGATGTGGCGAATAGTGGCGAGGAGCAGGATCAGGGCTACTAGGATCAAGAGTAGGAATAGAAATAGGGGCGAGGGAGTGGGAGGGTAACATTGCAGTGCATCCTTAATCAAACAACTCTACAGGATTCGAGCGACTTCATTACGCTGCGATGCAAATTTCGGTTTTAAATCTTTGCCGAACTAGAAACTAGTATAACCTCAATATAACCTCAAAATAACCTTAAAATCTATTTAGAATGTAGGTATTGTTTATAATTTTAGAAGCATAAAGGTGATTTGGGGTTGTTTTTAATGAAAATAACAGAATAACTATTAAAATAATCGAAATATTCAAGAAAAATGATTTTAGCATTGAGGTTGTGGTGTTTGACACTATAGGCAACCCAATATACACATTTGTTTGACAGCTAACTGAGAAACTAAGAAATTACTTGCGATGCAAATTGTGTTTTTTAATCTTCGCCCAACTAGAAACTAATATAACCTCAAAATCTATTTAAAATAGAGTTATTGTTTATAATTTTAGAAGAACAAGGTTGATTTGGAGTTGTTTTTAATGAAAGTAGCTGAGTAACTATTAAAACATTCGAAATATTTAAGAAAAAAGGTTTTTTATTGAGGTTGTGATGTTTAACACTATAGGCAACCCAATATACACTTCTGTTTGACATATAACCATATAAGGAATAAAGTTTTGATGAGGTTGTGGTGTATGACACTGTAGGCAACCCTACATACACTTCCATTCGACATCTAACACTAAGAAATTAAGTTGCATATGATTTACTTCACTATTGTTAAAGGAAACAAAGTTGCAGAAAATCAATTTTACGAGTACCTATAGTACGACATGGTAATGCAAATATGAATATCGATTAGATTTTTATTTGCTTACTTACTTGTCCTTTCTTTTTATTCTTGTGGACATACTCGTAGTAAACATGAAATTGAATTAACTGCGTAGATATTCGCAAAAAAATTTAAATTTTGTTTTGTTGTTTCATTGTGCCAATTATACCAATGCAGAGCAAATGCGTGTACAATGTGTATTGAGAGTAGTTGATCAATTAGAAATTATCACACCACCGCACGCCACAAATGGGTTTATTAATAGATTTGCGCGTTGAATCAATGTAACCAAATTGATGACAAAATAGATGTGTTGGGATTATTGCGGTGTTTTTGTTTTGTGTGTTTTTGTGTGTTTTTGTTTATTACTCAAAACTATTATAGATAGGATAATGATTCTTTTAGGAGTTGATAAGTTATTAAATTTTACGTGATTTGTGGGTATTATGATGTTGATTTGATTAGTAGTTAATTAGTTATGATGGATTAAAGTTGACTTTTGAAAATAATAATTAATTGAGAGAAAATTGATTGTAACTATTGATTACAACATGTTATCATTATGAAAGTGCTTGTGTTAGATAAGAATTTAATTCTGAATAGATTAGTGAAAGAATCAGTGTAATATCTTCATTAGTTTTGAGTAATTAATTAAAAACTAAACAATTTCGTTTGAGTGAAGAGTTTAGGTTCGGACGCGTCACACTAATTAACGAATAACACAAAAACTATTAATGTTTGACACATTTTCCTTTCAGAAATACTTTAAGAATTAAATTCTCTATCTACTTGATAAAAAACAATAATAATATAATAATATATTACAATTATATATAAATAATATATTACAAAGAAGTTATTAACATTTAAAGTTACATTTTCCAAAAAAATTAAAACTATTATTTTATTTGTTAACAACTTTTGATTCAAAATAGCTATCACCAAAATCTCTTCACTATTCAATACAAAAATTATTCCTTTATCCAGTCCATTAAAAATCATTCCAATATCTTAATTAGTTTTTGAGTAATCAACAAAAAACTAAACCTATTTCCCATTTTCACAATCCATTTATAATTCTTATACGTGATTTCTATAAATTTCACTAATAAATTCCGATTTAATAATGTTTGTTGATCCTAGGCTGATGATAATGATGATTATCATAATATTCTCATACGCTGACGATGATATACAACTATCTATCGAATATGTATCGAACGTGAGTCGTTGTCGCTGAGTGGTTGTGCGTTGTTTGTAAATTATTGAAGCGTTATTGATCGGAATAACACGCCGATTATGCCGACCCAGATAGACAGATAGATACAGATACATACAGATGCGCGTGTATGATGATACGATTATAATGCGATATGAATTTTGTTTTTCCAACGCTGAAAACAATAACACTGGCAGAGAAAATGCGAAAACAAAAAAAAAAGAGAGGAAATTGTTGTTTTTAGGAAACTTGTGAGCATATATTATTATTTATGTATAAATTATTTATAAAAATGATTAGGTTTTGATTTATTTTT